GGCTTACAAACTTAAGTTACCTGCAGAATCTCAAATTCATGATGTATTCCATGTATCACAGCTCAAAAGGTTCAGAGGTAAATTACCCATGGCTTCTCATATTCCTGAGTGGTTCAAGGGTCAGCCTGCAGAATTTCTACCTCAACCTGAGAAGATTTTGGACAGAAGAAGTGTTAAATTCCAGAATAAAGTGCAAGTGCAGTTTTTGGTGCAATGGAAAGGTTTTCCTTTTGAAGAAGCAACTTGGGAAGGAGCTGAGACCTTTAAGGATCAATATCCTGATTTTGATATTAGCAGATGATTCATTGTTTGATTTGAGGACAAATCAAAGCTTTCTAAGGAAGGAGGAATGTAACGGGAGTTTAGCTACAGTTAGAAATAGTTAGTTAGAAAATAACAGATTGGTTGTAAACCGTTGATGTGAACTGACTAGCTAGACTACACTGTATATAAATGCGAGAGCTATGATGAATAAACTCAGTTTTCTGCCATTCTATACATTCGTATATCTCCTTTCTTCTTTACGTTTAACAATGGAGTTCAGCTCTTGTTAAAGGTTTACATTTCTTTCGGTAGAATTCTTACCTGTTACATAAATGTTGTATTCTTAGACTCGATCGGCATCAACCCTAGCAATTAGAAAAATCATATTTGTTCATCCGGTGTCTGTACACATGTTGAAATTAATCTTGGGGAATAAAAATAGCAGGTTCTCTCAAAAACCAATTGATCAATTTAGGGTTTAGAGATAAAGTCACAGCGTGGTAAAAAAGAAAAGAAAAAGGCCAACAATAAATCAATCCATCAAAATGGTCTGTATATCTTCTTCGAATTCAAGAGTAATGATCGGGCTAGGCGGCTAAGTTAGGAACAATTTGATAACTATGCTTCTTAGTTCCTACTAGTACTAGTTAAGTTTGGATGGTTTTCGTGTTCTACAGCTTATGATCACTTGCGCAGGGCCTTTGCTTGCACTGAGTAACGATGGTTGTTGTTTTCATATCATATCGAGGGCAATTGTGATAATTCAGTTAATTTAATTAATTAATATTTAAATCAGTGGCTGCATTTAGCAATTTGAGGGTTGTCAATAGAATTACCCCTTTTTGTAAAAAGAAATTACTTTAGATGGGGCATGACCCATCTAGCCCTCTACTAATGCCCGCCATAGGGTGGACCCAGGCCGATTCAACACCCGTTCCGATAGCACGACTGGTTGGACCCTATAATATAAAAAATATAGGGGCTCAGGATTGACCCGCTATATACCGGTCTTAGTTCAGTCCCTCCACTTGTTTAAAAAAACCTTAATTAAATGTGTAAAATTATAAAAAAAGAATTATGCTAATATCTGATAACAAATTTAAGTAAATATATTATATTCTAAAATTTAAATGTCTTGCACCTAAAGTTGCATAAGTGTTCTCTTTATAATGATAGAGAAATCAAAGTCAAATGGTTCATTCTTCGTTTAATTATACGATACAATAAAAAATCTAAATAACCTATATTCGTTGAACTCTCACTTTCGGCATATGTTATTTCAATCGTATAATATAATGGCGTGTTTGTGCGATATTCCGTTCGTGAGTACAATGTTTAGTCTTTGGCCAATCATATGGAAGCACACAAGAAGCACACAAGTGTGTCTTGTGACTGAGCACTCAATTGTTTCCTTTAATCGATAAGGATGTTGTCAACGCTTTTGAGCTCTTGTTCGACTGCAATTGTTAAAACCGACATGAATAGTTTCACAATTATTGATAATATGAGAAACATTGGTTCTTTGTCTTTATGATTTCCACCAAGCTAGTATATCAAACTGGTCACCTTTTTCATACTCACAAGAAAAGGTTAGATGTAGTGATTAATCGAGTTTTGTGCAACATGAGTGAATTTATTTATTTTATAAAAAGATTTTTGAAGGTACTTCCAAAATGATTTTTTCCTTTAAATGAAGAAACATTTCTTTCAAGGTGTGGGGGCGTTAGAGTATTGTGTGTGAAATACATTAAATAGAGTCTACATTATTAAATAAGTCCCCCTACTATATCAAAAAAATCAATTACGTCCTCGTACTATAAAAACAATCAATTGAATCCTCAAACTCATAAAAATCACTCAATTAGGCCGTTCAGGCGGTAATGAACAAGTTCCCGGTTTTATTCTATCTTTTTCATTTTCTTTTGTTCCTTTCTTCTTTTTTCCTGCATTTCCCACACAGTTCGCACCAAAGATGAGAAATTCAGAACTTTCTCCTTTCCCGCCGTACAATTGAACGGAGACGAATTAAATTTTGAATTGCAGCCATCGCCGGAGTATCAATTTGTGGCCGCCATGACCGGAGTTACAGCTTTGCCATCGCTGGAGTTGGATCTTGTGGCCGCCGTCGCCGGTGTTGCAGCTTGTGACCGCCATCGTCGGTGTTGCAGCTTCTGGCAGCTTACGCCGGAGTCATCCCTAGCTCATGGGCTAAGCAAACGGCGAGGCATAGCCAGATCTACACGGGGGCTTCTTGCAAGGCCGATGGAAGTGGCGGCTGACTGCCTGACTGGATAGGTAAACATGGCGGCCGCCGTACCAAGTTGCAGTAATGTTGTCATGTAGAGGACGGCGGGTTGTCGGCGCAGACGGTGGCACAAAGGTGTGGTCGATGTGGATGGACAGTGCTCTACGTGAGCGGTGGACGCCTCACAAGAGGGTCGGTGCAGTGGGCTGGTGCAGAAAATGAGTTGTGTACTTGTGTGGGAAGATGAGGAACCAGAGACAATGTTGATTAGGAAGAAAAAATGGAAGACGATTAAAAAAATATTGCAAATAAAAGTTACAACTGTACGAGCTAGTTGGAATTAAAAGCTAAAATAATACTCCGTACGTACTAATAAATCATTAAAAAGCCACATTGACCATACACGTAAGGAGTTAACCGGATAAACTTATCCTTTACTGGTTAGAGGGTTCAATTGTGCATTTTTATAAGTTTGAGGGTCCCATTGACTAATTTTAAAGTAGGGGGACCTAATTGATTTTTTTGACATAGTAGAAGGACCTATTTGATAGTTTTCCCTTAAATAAATTATTAACCTCGTTAAACTTCATTTAAATTCATAATATTACTTTTTGTAGGAAATTCACCTTACAAACAAGTACTCCATACTACGTACGAAGTATAATATTACTACAAAGAAAATTCATAACTAGAAAATTTGAAATGAGAATGAAGAATAAAAGCATTGAAACAAATGCAGGGAATGAGAGAATGATACTTTGATTTGTTTTTATCGAATCGCAAAAATAATAAACATATTTGGAATTGGAGTTTCAAATTCTTTAAATGACGTGAGTCGCAGCAAGATCAAAAGTTTAACTTATAGATTATGAAATTAAACTAACACATTACATTTTTGTATAGCATCTATTTTCCAAGGTTCAACAATATGGCCACATTCATCTTTGTAGGCAACTCACTTCTAAATCTAAGAATCAAATGAACTAATTCATAAGTACTAATCCAACAAAAAGACAAATATTTGAAATGCACAATATTTAACACAAAGGTTTCAAATAGACTTTCTGTAACACCCTCAAATTATCACCCAAAATACATGCTATATATCACAGTTTTGTGAAACATTCTCTCAAATTGTTTTAGTTCAAAGTAAATTATATTGCAACGAAATTTAAAAATATTGGGTGTTACAGCCATAATCAGTTCTCACATAACCGCGTGCGCATGCTAAATCACACTCCAAAATTAAAACACAAGTATTTAATTAAATAGTTCAAAACAAAATGATTGTCTACATGTTCTCAAATCCAAATTTAAGTAGATCAATGATTAATCAATAATCTAGGTGTTCTAGCGCAGTTTTCATTAAGCACATTCATCCTCATCCTAAAGTGCATAAAGAAAACAAAAGAAAAACAAAAGGTAAGACTCACTCAATCTCGTAAAATAATGTAGTTTAATAAAAATAGATTTTGAACTAAAAATCTTCTTTTCCAAAGTACATGTACTTTTCATTTTTTTTCACGATTAAAACATTTATATTCAAAATATCTTTTATAGTTTGAAATCACACTTATAACTAAACCAAATAATTCTAAATAAATCACTTCTTCATATAGGAGTAAAATATGGTCACTTTCCAAAAATAAATTTTACAGCTAAAACAAAATTAAAAATATCTGTGATGATCACCGGAGAAGATCATTATGAACTTATTATCATAGATTATTCAAAAAGCCATTATGAATTTGTAGCTTATTACTCAAAATGTCATTATAAACTTGTGGTTCATAGATTATCTAGTGTGACTATGAACATATTGTTCATAAATAACTCAAATGTCATTATAAACATGTAATGTATAGATTACTCAAATGTCATTATGAACATATAGTTTGTATATTACTTAGAATGTCATTTAATTGCATTGTTCTAAAAGTCACTCTTGGCGCCCGACTAGTCCCCGCCTAGGCGCTAGGCGGTGGCCGAGCGCCCCGACTTTAGTCTTGGTGCTCCAACTAATTGATTTGATGCATAGGTGAATTAGTCATATGCCTAGGGTTGGAAACCCTTCTTCTTTGGGAATAACAAGTTTGAAAAGATAAAGGGTTTGAATGAATTATAATTAAAATCACTTCACATATATGACGAATTTAAATAATTGACTTTATATTTATTTAAAATTGAGCTAAAGTTGTTATTTAGTTAGTTATCCTTCAAAATCCTCCTAAATTCCTATTTGAGGGAACTTGAAAATTTAGCAATTGAAATGCATGGGTGAGATGCATGTTGGCAATTCTTACAGTTTGTCCTTCTGGAGCACAAGCAGCCTTAATGTACTCCTTCCACTTCAAAAGTCCTTCAAAACCAACCCCTCCATATTTTTTTAACCCCCAAACATGAAAGGGAGGTTCATAAACCCTTGTCAACTATCCTCTCCCCTCCAAAACCCAACTCCCAAACATACCCCAAGTTCAAGGTAAAACAGCAGTTTTGGTTGAAATAAGAACTTACTTCAAGGCTAGTAACCAATTTTATACGTGAATCCTGGGTTGAATACTCATAGATCAAATCCTAGTACCAAATAAGGTCATAGAATAATTAATTGACACCATAAGATTACAGACAATTGCACCAGGAAACAATCTTACCCTAAGATTACTTCGTAGAGGCAGTTTCTCGACACCAAAAATCACTTTGGATGGATTGAGAATGTTTAGGCAGAAGAAAATAATTCTAGGCAGTCTGCTTTAGGGTTCCAAGAATGACCAAATCAGGAATTAGGGATTCTATTTCGGCTGAAAATAGGCTTTGGGCTGAAATAGGTTTTGGGCTATTATAGGCCTACACAGCATAACTCACACATTGAGTAAAGCTATGTCTAGGCCGATGCTTAGGCGCGGAAAGAGTATAGGCCGCACGGGAAAATCCATAAATCTCGAGAGCATGCCACAACAAAAGAACGGTCCCTTATTAAATGGACAATATTGTTTACATCATTAGACGAGAAAGTCTAATCAATACACAACAAGAATCTGTCTTCTCTTTGTTGGCATCCCCGGTGAGATACATGCTGGTGATTCTTACTTTTTCTCCTTCTGGAGCACAAGCAGCCTTGAAGTACTCCTAGCAATTAAAAAGTCCATCTATGGTGAGCTATTTGTGCAAATGCCAATGCCCAAATAAATTAGGGAATCTGCAGTTTGGTGAGCTATTTGTGGCCAAGATTTTAAAAAATGATCTCCTGATGATCCAAACCAAATAATGGAAAACAACAAAGTAATACTCCGTATTAGAAAGAAAAAGTAGAATTAATATGAAACTAACTATAGACTTAGATAAGGGAAGCAAATTGTATCTTCAATGTAATTGTAAATGGCAGCAAATAAAAAGTAAAGAGACTGAAAGAAGCCAAACTAAAGCTGGTTCGATCAGTTGTCCTGGCGTTCTGGGGTGGAATGTGTTCTTTTAATTTTGCGATATTATCACCAGAAAAAATTATCAAAAAACACTACATGGATGGATTTCAAACACAATGGAACAAACAAAGGTATAGTGAGGCACAACAATATGAACAGTCTGAATTCTGAATCACCTGTTAATCTAAAACATCCGTTAAGTGCTATGATGTGAAAATATCTAAAAAAAACTTCTCGTAGCAAAATCAGCCATACAAACACTTTAAATATAAAATCGTAAACAAATCCCAATGACAAATAAGAAGGGTAGTACTGTAGTAGGTGCCATGGTGGTGGTCTAGTCATAACAAATCCTAAATATTGTGTTAGCTTTATCACTTGATTTACAATCATAGTGGTCAATGGCGAGATATGGCGCGCCATGGCCATGAAAAAGTGATCATCGCTATAGCGCCATATGCGCCTTATGCGCCAATCGATATGAGACATCGTTGTGCACCTTGAAAAATGCCTTTGAGCCATGGCAATCGCCATGCGCCACGACAACTGTGTTTACAATAGTATGTACGGAGTAGTTTTTTGTTTTCTATAAAAGAATGCTGGTTTTTTTATTTTATTAAAACAATAGGCTGATCTTTTCACTTCTGTGTAAACAACATAGTGGGATTTTTCATTTTGGTTATATTATCAACATGGTTCTCAACAATAAATGTATCCTGCCATCAGTAGATCTATATAAAAGAGAACCAGATATGGTTCACAGACATCGTGTCAGATGTAGAGTTATTCATAGAGCTACCCGGGGAATTCATTTTCTAAGGAGTAAGATGTTTTGAATAATATAGTTAACTGCAGTAAAAAATGCATAGCTAAATAGTGTCGGGACACAGTTTTTAAAGCTATCGTTGAGGCGATAAAGCACCACCAAGACCTGAGCAATAACTATTTTCCTAATGTACATATTGTTGTTATAATTTTGGGGACCTAGTTTGTAAATGTCACCCTTCAATTGTCCAAATTGGTGTAAATGTGGTCTTTTGAGCGGTGAAATGTACAGTGGACGAGGAGTACATTTCACTTCTCAAAGGACACACATACAACAATTTGGACAATTCAGGGATGACATTTACAAACTTGGAAATAGGGCTGCACAAGAATAACCCGAACCCGCATAACCCACTCGACCCAACCCTACCCAATTTAATCGGGTATTTGATTTGAAAAAATATTCATGGGTTAAATATGTTTGAACCCGCACCTAATGGGTAGGGTTGCAGAATTAAAATCTCAAACCCGATAGTACCCGACCCGGCCAAAGTTTATTTTACTATTATTATGCTACACCGTTTTCTTGGATAATTTCAATTTAAGACCAATATGCTCTATCTAGGACTTTATGATATTATAATTATAATTAAACATTTATCATTTTGACTGGGTGATAATCATATATTTATGTTTCCTTCTAAATGAACTTCCTTTACGAAAGGATGCTTTAATACTATTACGTAATGTTTTTGCTTAGAAAAGATACGAATAGTTGTATTTGTTTGTGTGATTTTTTCCCTAATACCCGACCCTACTCGACCCGTTCATGCATGGTTTACCAACTTATTTTGCGTAACGCGAGTTGGTTAATAACCAACCCGAACAAATCGGGTAGGCCCAAAAAATATATCAAACCCGGCCCGCCCGATGTGCAGCCCTACTTGGAAATACGGGGCTAACATTTCAATATGGTGACTATTTCATGGACTAAAAGTGTGAAATAATTATATTATCATTAAAATATGTTAATAGTGACATTTACAATATTGGAAATATGAGGTTGACATTTCAATATGATGTCTATATCAGGGACTAAAAGTGCGAAATAGTTATATTATCATTAAAATATGACAAAACGACATTTCAATATGATGACTATTTGGAACAATGACTATACCCGGCACCGGTCATGCGGATTTTTCGCTGGTTGCTTCTTTTGACAATGTACATTTTTTTGTTCCGTTTTAGGCATCCACGATTGATTTAGAAGTGCCAGTTTCGACCCCTTTTGACTTTTGATCCATATTTGTTGCTCGTAGCCGTCTTTCACATTTTTGCTCACCTTTGAATATTTATCTGTTTTCGCTTCATATTTTTGTACATATAAATATAATTACCTATGTAAAACATAAGTAATTATTGTGCTTATCTAATTCCTCCACACTTGCTAAGTCTCGAGCTAGTCCGTCACCTTGAGTACCTTGGTTAGTTCAACAAAAATATATGATGATTTTAAGAGAGTAAAAACGTATACTCTTTTATCATTCTCCGTCCAAAATCATTTTTCTATTAGACACAAAAATATCATTAGATTTAGAAAAATTACTTATACTCTTGAGAATTGATAAGTTGATTGTGACTAAAGCTTTTTGGATGTGTGGATGACTTTTTGGTGTTTTTGACTTTGCTTGGAAGAGACTATGAGTTAATTCCTTTTTTTAACTCATTTGAAATGGTTCTTAACAAATATCTGCTAAAAGCCATTTTTCCTGATTCCAATTTATTTGATGAGATATGGGAGTGACTTGATTCCAAAACGGGACTTGAGTATTTGAGATGATTTTTTACCACTTTTTGAAATGAAGGAAGCTGTTTCCGAATCACAAGGTTTCTCTTGAGAATGTAAAAAGTAGTATAATAAATCTTAAAAAAATGATGATTTTTGTGAATAATAAAAAAAACTTTCTCAACCGAATACCCATTAAAAAGAGAAATATCACAAATTTTTACATTCCTAAAAATTCATTGCACACAAAATTTGTTTAACTACCCATGAAATGCACCACCACACTTAAAATACATTGTCCCAATGTATGATACATACAAAACAAATATTTTAATCAACATCCACAATTAAGTGTGTTTAGGGAAGATAATGTCATAATAGCAATAACAAAATGGGGTACTCAATGTTGTGGGTCGAGAGGGATACCCAAATTGCTCGTAATAGAGTTGGGTGAATTTCTCAAACCTTTGATCATAACCTTGCAATTGCTACCCTATCCTCGTTTGGCGGGTCTCAAATGCATCGTATCAAGCTCCGCTTGATGAAGTAGTCTACACTTTGTGCCATAGTCTATCGTGGTCGGGTCGCGAGTGCCGCTTAAACTTCACCCATATCTTCGTTTCCACCCTCATGCTCCCCTTTATCCTCTTTCCGAGTCTCATACACGTTTATCCGTGTAAGCATTCAGTCCATGGAGTCGATGAAGTAGTCTAAACTTTGTGCCATAGTCCGTCGTGGTCGGATCGCGGGTGCCAGTTAAACTTCACCCATATCTTCGTTTCCACCCTCATGCTCCCCCTTATCCTCTTGCCGAGTCTCATACACGTTCATCCGTGTAAGCATTCAGTCCATGGAGTCGATGAAGTAGTCTAAACTTTGTGTCATAGTCTGTCGTGGTCGGATCACGAGTGCCGGTTAAACTTCACCCATTTCTTCATTTCCACCATCATGCTCCCCCTCATCCTTGCAGACCCATGTGTTATCCACTAATTTGAATTGGATGGACACCATAGTACCCGCATTCAGAACTTGTGACCCAAACGTGTATTCAACTTCTTCATTGGTAAGGTCAACGCCAAAACTCCTACATATCATAGTAGGTAAAAGAGGGTAAAGGAATTTTTTATCACCTCTTTTCGTTTTGACGACGCTCCTCATGTTTATCACGATGAGAGAGACCAAAGGAACGCCCTGAATTTGTTTGAGCCCGTTAAACATCTTGTGCAGAAGGTAGAGGTCCACCCGACAAAGTATATGTGTGTCACTAGCCCGTGGTAAGATGTTGAAACCGAGAAGGTACACGATAAGTCTCTTTAAAACATTGAGAACACGGGCTTTAAGCTCCCCTACGAGGCCAAAGGATTGCATTGTTCCTATCTCATCATAAGTGGGGTCGTTTGTCACCGTTTTGGAGTTCATGGTGAAGCGGGTACCCACGTCAACGACTTGAAGTAGGTTGCAAAATTGGTCTTTACTCACCGTGATTGTCGTGCCTTTTGAAGTGCTCACGATGTCCCTAAAAGAGTCCATCTTCTTTTCAATATTCGCATAATTCTCCCGCACTAACCGCGAGTAATACGCTCCAGTCAAAGTGAGCATGATGGTCCACCCTAGTTTGTCATATGCCTCCGAGATTCTGCAAAGAGTGTTGATTTTGGGATCAACGGTCTTCCTAATGACATTGTTCAAGATTTTTTTTTCATATCACGCCTCGTTTTCCGGAGATGTGAAATGGGGAGTGGAAGAATAAGTAGCACCATTCCTTCGTTTAGAAGCCTTGGACCTGCATTACTAGTCAAATACATATGCACCACACAATATATTTCATCAAGTCAAGGTAATTTAGACTTCAAATCTAAAAATTTCCCGAAATTTCAAGTTTATTTACAACTTCTTACAACAATTATGTTTAGAAGACTATATATCAACAGTAAATCATACCAATACCCTTCTAAACATTAATTATATAAAAGGATTCAATAAATTGAACAAGAAAATTCGAAATTACGGTTTTTGAGAAAAAATTTCAAGAACTTCCCCTAATTTTGAACTTTAATCTCAAAATCTTGAAAACAAATGTGTTTATAGGCATCAATTAGGCACGGGTGACTAACAATTAGCACATAGAAACATCAATTTTGCCAAGTTTTGAAAAAAAGAAAAGAAATTGAAAATTCAAGAAATATTTGATCTTGAAGCAAAATTACATTGATTGATAAAAGATTGTATGTTTAGAGCTTGGAGGAGGATCGTATGATATAGAAAGAGCTTTGGCAGCGTGAATTTCGGATGAAAGGGGCGGTTTGGGGTGTTAGCCATTTCAGATAACATCTCTTCATTTAGGATACATTGTTGTATAAATCCATCGGCACACTGTTTGAAAAGATATGGATCACCCCAATAGTAACGTTTGACATCATTTAAAAATTTCTTCCTTTGATGGAAAGTTAGCTCTTGGGGAAGAATTTCTTTGACAAGATAATTCACAAAATCTGTGAACCAAGGTAAGAAAACTCCCTTCACCTCCATAAGTTCCTCATAAGAAAAATCATCATGAATTACATCTATATTAATAGTGGCATTTGCCTCAAGGCGAGAGAGTTTTGACCAAACATCATTTCTTGTAAATGGTCACCGACTCAAGCCATACGTGGAGTACTATATCACTTTGGCAACCACCGCATGTCAATTGGAAAATTAAAATGTACATTTTGTCCGGCCTACGACATTAAATTGAGCGCTAATTGGGAGGCAACCCAACGAAAATCAATTATAAGTAAATATGTTTAGCTATACACATATTCATTTTTATTTATAATTGAACAAAAATCAATTATAAATAAATATGTTTATCTACATAAACATTTACATTTATTTATAATTGAAACACAAAAAAAAAATCAAAAATTTTAAACAGAGAACGACTGGCCTCGGTTGCACAATTTGACTGGCGTCGGTCCAAAACAGACGCCTAGTCCTCACGAAATATACGTAGCCGACGTCAGACACATTCTCAACTGGCGCCCCTTTTAAACGGATGAAAGGGGCGGTTTTGGGGTGTTAGCCATTTCAGATAACATCTCTTCATTTAGGATACATTGTCATATAAATCCATCGGCACACTGTTTGAAAAGATATGGATCATCCCAGTAACGTTTGACATCATTTAAAAATTTCTTCCTTTGATGGAAAGTTAGCTCTTGGAGAAGAATTTCTTTGACAAGATAATTCACAAAATCTGTGAACCAAGGTAAGAAAACTCCCTTCACCTCCATAAGTTCCTCATAAGAAAAATCATCATGAATTACATCTATATTAGTAGTGGCATTTGGCTCAAGGCAAGAGAGTTTTGACCAAACATCATTTCTTGTAAATGGTCACCGACTCAAGCCATACGTGGAGTACTATATCACTTCGGCAACCACCGCATGTCAATTGGAAAATTAAAAGGTACATTTTGTCCGGCCTACGACATTAAATTGAGTGCTAATTGGGAGACAACCCAACGAAAATCAATTATAAATAAATATGTTTAGCTATACACATATTCATTTTTATTTATAATTGAACAAAAATCAATTATAAATAAATATGTTTAGCTACATAAACATTCACATTTATTTATACTTGAAACAAAAAAAAATCAAAAATTTTAAACAAAGAACGACTGGCCTCAGTTGCACAATTTGACTGGCGCCGGTCCAAAACAGATGCCTAGTCCTCACGAAATACACGTAGCCGGCGTCAGACACATTCTCAACTGACGCCGGTTGGAACTGTTAAAACATTGCCCAAGTCGTGCAAACGACCGCACATCAACTCCCAATCTCAAATTTTTGAGAGCTCACGACGGCCAGCACCCCAAAACACCTCAAAACCGCCCCTTTCAGTCGGAATTCACACCGCCAAAACTCTTACTAAATCACACGACCCTACTCCAAGCTCTAAACAAACAATCCATCATCAATCAAGGTAATTTTGCTTCAAAACCTAAAATTTCTTGAATTTTCAATTTTCTTCTTTTTCCAAAACTTGGCAAAAGTGATATTTTCATGTGCTAATTGTTAGTCACTCATGCTTAATTGATGCCTATAAACACAGTTGTTGTCAAGATTTTAAGATTAAAATTCAAAATTAGGAGAAGTTCTTGAAAAAAATTCTCAAGAACCCTAATTTCGAAATTTCTTGTTCATTATTGAATTCTTTTATATAATTAATGTTTAGAAGGATATTGATATGATTTATTGTTGATATATAGTCTTCTAAACATAATTGTTGAAAGAATTTGTATGTGAACATGAAATTTGGAGAAATGGTTGAATTTTTGGATTTGAAGTCTAAATTACTTGACTTAATGAAATACGGAGTATATTGTGTGGTGCATATGTATTTGATAATGATGCAGGTCCATGGCTCCTAACCGAAAAGAGAGATGGTGTTAGTTCTTCTTCTTGTTCCACTCTCAGTGTCACTTCTCCGGAGAATGAGGCGTGGTATGAAAAAAGAAAGAACACGAACATTGTCATAATGTCATTGAGAAGACCGTTGATCCACAAATCAACACTCTTTTCAGAATTTTGAAGGCATTTGACAAACTAGGCTGAGACATCATGCTCACTTTGACGAGACCGTATGACCTGCGACTTGTGCGGTAGATTTATGCAAATATTGAAAAGAAGACAGACTCTTTTGGGAACGTCGTGAGTATGGTGAAAGGCACGACAATCATGGTGAGTAAAGACTAACTTTGCAACCTACTTCAAATCATTGACGCGGGTATCCCCATCGTGATAAGCGACCCTACTTATGATGAGATGGGAGCAATGCAATCCTTTGGCCTCGCAGAGAAACTTAAGGCCTATGTTCTCAATGTTCGGAAGAGACGTATAACGTACCTTCACAGTTTCAACATCTCACCACGAGCTAGTGACACACATATACTTCGTCGGGTGGACCTTTACCTTCTGCACAAGATGGTTAACGCGCTCGAACAGATTCAGGGCATTCCTTTGGCCCCACTCATCAAGATGGACATGAGGAGTGTTGTCAAAACGAAAAGAGGTGATGAAAACTTCCTTTACCCTCTTTTACTTATTATGATATTCAGAAATTTTGGCGTTGACCTTACCAATGAAGAAGTTGAATACACGTTTGGGTCACAAGTTTTGAATGTGGGTACTATGGTGTCCCTCCAATTTAAATTGGTGGGTAACACATGGGTCCACAAGGATGAGGGGGACCACAAGGAGAATGAGGGTGGAGATGAAGAAATGGGCGAAGCTCAACCAGCACCCACGACCAGGGCACGACGGACTACGACATAGAGTTTAGACTACCTCATCGACTCCATGGACCGAATGCATACACAGATGGACGCATATGAGACCCGACAAGAGGAGCTCCACACTCAATACGATGCATTTGAGACCCGCCAAACGAGGATAAAGGAGTAATTGCAAGGTTATGATTAAAGGTTTGGGGAATTCGGATCACCCAACACTATTACGGCCAATTTGGGTACGCCTCCCGACCCACAACATTGAGTACCCCTTTTGTTATTGCTATTATGATATTATCTTCCCTGTACACACTTAATTGTGGATGTTGATGGAAGTATTTAATTTCTATGCATCATAAATTGGGACAATGTATTTTAAGTGTGAGCGTGCATCTCATGGGTAGTTAAACAAATTTTTTTGTGCAAAATATTTCTTTAGGAAGGTAAAAAATTGTGATATTTCTCTTTTTAATGGGTATTTGGTTGAGAAAGTTTTTTTTCTCTTATTAATCACAAAAATTATCATTATTTTTAGATTCATTGCACTACTTTTTACTCTTGAAAATCATTCCCAAAAGAAACCTTGTGACTAGAAAACACCATCTTCTTTCATTTTCAAAAGTGGTCAAAAATTCATCTCAAATATTTAAGTCCCACTTTGGAATACCAGTCAACCCCATATCTCATCAAATAAATTGGGATCAACAAAATGACTTTCAGTAAATATTTGTTGAGAACCATTCAAATAAGTTAAATTGTTGGACTTAATTTCTATTTCTTTTCTTGTCATGGACTTATGCTATCAGTTATATTGTGAATTTTTTTTATGTAGTAATATGATTTACTAGTTAGTTAAATATGGTTGAATGCGTGTTTAATTGAATTTTCTATTAAAAAATGTGTTTGATTTGTTTTTCTCTTAGGTTTATATTATATGTATTTTATGATCTAAATACTAGTATCATAGTATGTTTTAATGTTTAAATAATACCATATTTTTAGTAAGAATTTTTCAAAAAAATCGTATAATACACGTATACAAATTTAAACGTTTTTTAAGAGTCAACGTTTTTTTAACATTTTTTTACCGTATTTTTTGTCCATGCGACCATGCCACTGAATAAAACACCAACGTGTTGAACACCGTTCAATTACCGTACTGTATTTAACCAACTCGGCTTTCTAAAGGGTCAACTGGCATTTCCTGCAATGCAGCAATTAACGCGGAAAAAATGAAGGATATGTTAAACCGAAGAAGAAATAGTATGAATCCATGAAATGTTCAAACGAAGGCAATGCTTGGCAAGCCATAATGAGAAGTAATGTACTGTAGAACAAATTTTTGAATTTGAGGTAGGCCAGAGAAAATAATTCTTTCATGCAATTTTCCTCCACTTTAATTTTACACAAGAAAATGTGATTTTTATCGAACTTGAGGCGAGACATGATCTGCCGCTACATGCCCTCATTAATTTAGGTTCATTGAACGTTACTTAAATGCTACTAGAAAAGTAAGCTTACTTGTCATGCTCAAGCTGTTGCATGATAAGTCCCTGAGTTCAAAATAATATTTAAGTAATCCACATAAATCTTAATCAGAAAGTTGTAAGAGAATGAACATATATTGAACAAGGGGGAGAGAGATTTACATGAAAGTAAGCTGGGTCGGTCAAAGACATTGGAATTGCTCCAGATAAACTGTTATTGTTTAGACTCCTAACCCACACAATAAACTTCATTATTAGTAAGTATTATTTTTAGATTAATTAAACAATTCAATTATGAGATTTTAATAAATGCTTACATGTACTTCAGCCTTTGCAAGTGGCCCAGAGAAGGATTTTTCCAGTAAAGAGATTGTTAAAAAGATCAAGAGATCGAAGATTACGGAGGCGTCCGATCTCACCTGGGATCAGTCCATTTATGCTGTTATTCTGTAAGAATCTATCAATCACATTATTGTGTATTAAAGCCTAGATGATTTTTTAATTAGAATCAAGCCGTAATCTTAAGAAATTAGCACTTACATGCTCTGGGTGTTTGTCAAATTTACAATGCTTGTAGAGAGCACTCCGGATAAGCTCAGGCTTAGAGCTCCTCTATATATGAACAAACCCCATCAACTAAGGGTCTGTTGGGAACTCAATAAATATTACGGAAAAAATAAAAAATGGAAAATTTGGAATGAAAGCAAATTTATTTAGGGGAAATTTTTTAAAAAGATCAAATCAAATGTTCTATTAAATTTGATTAGTTTTTATTTTTATAAATGAAAAGAAATTGTTTGGCAATAACAAAGATTTGTGAAAAGATGAATAGGACAAGGTTAGGAAACAAAATTGTTAAGCAATAAACAAATGGGTGAAGCCTACTTGAGCATTTCCTTGTTTCTGAAGAAGTGAACACATGGTGTAGCCATTATATCATCTGCCTTGGCAATCTCATGGTCTTCAGTAATGTCAATTGTTCAACTCAATATGAGTAATATCAATCTTAGGGTCTTCAGTAATGTCAATCTCAACAAAATGGACATCATGCTTAAATTCGTTTATAACCTTCAAAACACCAGGTACATACTGGGATGATAAAACACCAGATTGTAGAATGCCTGGCTTTTTTACACAATAAAAACAGAAAAATATTACAGAGTAATAACTTACAGTCCAACTACAAAACCATCTGGAGAGCAAGTAACCATGGACCTGCTACAAGAATCAACAGTATTGGCATCCCATCAATCAAGAGAAAAAGAATTAAGATATTGTAACATTTTTAAGGAGATAACACAAAGATAACAATAACATATGAGCTGAAAACTCAATAAATATCTTCAAAGTTTACACCTTTAGGAGATAACAAACCAATTATAGAGCACAAAAAGATAGCTTCCGAACCTGAGAATGAAGATCTGAAAGTTAAGCCCTCGGGTATGTCAGGCTTCCACGCACTAAGTTACGTAATATACCCAGCTTCTTCTCCACATCCCTACTTCAAACATTCAAAAAAAACAAAATCAAATGAAATATAAGTAGTGGGACAGTGAGCAATCTTAGTTATGTGCATTCTTACTATCTTAATATAGAATATTTGCCTTAATTTATTTGTTAGCCTATCTATTTATCCACAATACATGTTTACCATATTACGGAGTATCACTCCATCTGTCATACCATGTCAATCTAACCGACCTCAACAAACCAAATTATTTAATACTGTCTATATAACAACCTCATTGCGATTCTCAGACCACAATTAAGAAGTGTTTCAAATAATCATCACTTCCTAGCCAAACAACATCAAATGTCTATAAAAAGCATTACAGCCACAACCTGAATACTGCAAATAAAGAAAGAGTGGACATCCAGACAGAGACTGATAAACATACCCATCACTGTAGCCCACTCTTGCCGATCTGAGTTACCAAAGGTATAGACTACGGAATTCATCCTCATTACTAGCCTTGCAACTTCCCTGGGTGGAGCCCGAAGTAGTGTTATGATGTGATCAAAGCACCAGGCTGAACCAAGGATTCTACAGGAGAACCCTTTTCCTTATCATCTGGGTCAACACCATGCCCAACCCACTTTTAACAGATGACCACGAACTCGAGCTCGCAACAACACTGTTTTGAATCTGATTCTACTCTCTGTAATCAGCTAAAGCATGTCCAATCCTTGCATCAGGCATTTTGTTCCTAGGAGTCAAAAAATCCCTACCCGCACCCTGAATTGGCATCCTATCGCCTGGAGGAGTCATCCTGTTCGCCGGTGCAGGCTTACGAACGAGACAACGACATGCGTAATCGCTGTGTTATATTTGCTGGGCTGGAGTTTATAATTGGGCCGGAATAAGGTATGTCCCTGGGCCGGATAACATTAATTAATACTACCTCCGTCCCCCTAAGTTTGGGACAAGAGAAAGTGGCACAGTTATTAATAAAAGTGGGTTTATGTGGTTGGTATTGAATTGATAAAGTAAGAATAAAGTAGAAATGATTTAGAACCACACAAACTTTACCAAATAAGGTATGAGACAATCTTAGTGGGACGGACCGAAAAGGTAAAACGGGACAATCATAGCGGGACGGAGGGAGTAACATTTTTTAGGCAAAAATATTAATAACAATATTATTAATAATAGTAATAGTAATACTAACAATATTATATACTTCCTCCGTTCTTTTTTAGTTAAAACCGTCCCCTTTTCACGTTTCACAACGCACAACTTTGACCGTCATTATATTTAATTCTGTAATAGTAAAAATAAAATAGAAATCAGATTATAAAACTTAGTAATGAGACGAATTTAACAATATTTTTCAAAAATAATAATTCACATACATTAATAAATAAATGTAGTCAAAGTAAAAGTACATGAATAATATATATATTCCAATGTTGCAACTAATGCGATACGGAGGATAGTACAATGTATTATATGAATGATAATATTGGGCTCATAGTAACTTGTAGTGTGCACTTTTAAAATGTCACTTTTAATTGATTTTTCATTTTAAATTAAGTAATATAAATTGGCTATTATAAACGGACCGATCTGAAATAACCTTTTGGCTCTGATATATAAAGACGTCGCAAGAACAAAGGGTAGCCGTAAATAAATGCAGAATGGAAAATGAGATAATATATGAATAAAACAATACACTTAGATAAATAATATGGTAATGGGAAAATCGCACTTTTAGTCTCTAAAATAATCACAATATTCAAATGTCAGACCTGTGTTCCTCAGTTTGTAAATGTCACCCTCAATTGTACAAATTGCTGTAAATGTGATCCTTTGAGGGATGAAATGTACAATGTGGGCGAGAAGTACATTTCACCTCTCAAAGGACCACTGATGGACAATCTACCCGGGGGGTATCTTATCCGAGGGGTTATTGCGGGAATAACTAGAGAGAAGTCGGAGCAAATAGGAGGAGAGAGAGTCGATTGTATTAAATGAACTCGAGATGTTCTGGTCCTTTACAACGGGGAAAGGGGGTGCTATCTATAGTAGTAATAAATGCGATGAAGGTACACGTGTCAACAATCTGACGGCCGATGGGTCACCTCAATTGGGTGGCACTGGCATTCGCATGTGCACCGCATTGAATGCGGTGGGTGGATGTGATGTCGCATTAAATGCGGTGGTTGCTTGTCTCCAAAGGGAATCTTCGATGATTGAGCTGTTGGCTGAAGGCTCTCCCCGCAGCCGAGGGCTCTGTGTAGCCGAAGGCTTCCCTGATGCCGAAGGCACCTTCATGGCCGAAGGCTACCTTCATGACCGAAGGCTACCTTCATGACCGAAGGCTACCCTCATGGCCGAAGGCCACCCTCATGGCCGAAGGCCACCCTCATGGACGAAGGCCACCCTCATGGACGAAGGCCACCCTCATGGCCGAAGGCCACCCTCATGGCCGAAGGCAACCCTCATGTCGAGGGCTCTCCTATGGCCGAAGGGTCCTGATTTCTGCAGTTTTCTCGCTGTAGCTTTGTATGCTCAAATCTCGCTGCCATGTGTGCACCGTGGGTTTCTTTAAGCTTGGGCCGCTGTGTTCGGACCTTGTGTGCTCATTGGGCTCATTTGGGCCTGTGTAGGAGAAGTGCGAGTCTGTGGGCCGGGGGTCCCTTGGCCATATACTCCATCAACCACATTTACAGCAATTTGGACGATTGAAAGGTGGCATTTACTATCTCAGAAATATGGGTCTAACATTTCAACATGGTGACTATTTCAGGGACTAAGAGTGTAATTTTCCCTATCATAATTAAAAGTACACAAGAGAAAAGTATATTAAAATTAAAACATGAAGAAAACACTTCATATTTTGAACAAGTAAAATTAAAATGTTAGAAATCAAAGATCAGAGGAGATCACTCAAACTTCTAGCCTACAAGAGAGTATTGTGTATTCTACGTCTCCAAGTTCTAATTTTTGCAATATAGGAGTCCTCTTCTCATAGGGGTGTGGTACTCTATGTAATAATTGAGTGGATGAAGTAGTTGAGGAGTAAGGACTTATTTCCATCCACTTGATAATCTTTTTGAAGCACCCAAAAACATTTTCTTTTTCTTTTTCCTTTTCTTTTTCTTTTTGGATTTTTTTTGTTTTAATGCAATAACATGTCAGGCTAGACCCATTACGACGTGCATAAAAATAGAAAAAATAAGTTTTGGGTTGTTCCATGAGTACATGGGTGAACATTTTGTTTTCACTTGGTAGGGGAGAGGATGCCGAAACAGTCGACTTCATTGTCATTTTTTGTTAGCATGATTGGTTCTGAGATCTTTGGTTTTGGAGAAATTCTCTTGTTAGAAAATCTAAAATTGAGTTTTGAACTCCTATAATAAATTCAATATCAAAATAAAAAATACTAATGATGGATAATAGAGTATCCAAACATATATAAAATAGAGAGATTGAGTTATGGTGTGAGGAAAAAGATGAATAGTGTATAAGTTTGTGAATTATGAATTGGGAGTTGGGAATTACAAGACCTCCCAAGTGGAGTATAAATAGAAAAACGGTGGGTTAGGCCGCTAATATGGGCCGATAGGCATCTGGTAAGCGTGTACAATAATATGAACTATGAACTGTACAATAATCCAACTACATGAAAGATTAATCAAGTACATACAAATGACATATGAACTGTACAATAATCTAAATGACATCTGGTAAGCGTGTGTGGGCTGCTGTCCAGGCGCAACAGTCGTGAGACCCGGGGGTCCAAGTCGATATACTCTATCAAGAGTCCCCCACTCCCTGAGTCGAGAGTACTCGAGGCGAAAGGAAGTTGAAATATGTGCCGATCTGTCATCGTCTGGTGGAGCACAGAGTTGTGATCGCCCAGGCGCCCCACCTGGATTCCCAAGCCGCTGGTCCAATCTCATCGACAATCCCTGGCTGAGGCAACCCTATGGGAGAATGCTCAAGCGAAGGTCGCTGGCCAGAGACCCTCACATCCGATCTTGAGGCTGAGGATCTATATGTATGTACTTTGCTGCTATGGCAACTGAATCTGCATATGATGTGATGACGTCGTCGGTGGATGTGGCAAATATCGTGAAAATTTTGATTTTGTGCTTCTTCGATCAATGGAGGCGCGAAGTCCCCCGCTCTTCCAATAAAGGTGCTAAATCCCCCGCTCCTCTAGTCCCCCACTCCTTATGGTGAATGAAATGAGGTGAAGAGGAGTAGAGTAGTGCATGTCTCGTGATGTCTTCAATGGGGGCCGAGGGTTGACACATTTTGTCCATGTTGGGGAGATGCCTCGTTAAAAACCTCACTAGGAAAAATCCTATGGGAAAAAATCCTAATGATGGAAAAAAAGTACAGTAGATGCTCCCAAATTGAAGCAAAAGGGGTGAGCCCTTCGGCCAAGGTGTGGAGCTGCAACGGTGTCTATTTGCTAAGGGGACGGTCAAGACCAGTCTTCATATGTGAGTAGTTCAGCATGATAAGTAGTCCTAGTCATCAAATAAAGATGACCAAGAGATAGGCCGAGCGACCGTCCATACATGATGTCTGAATTCATCAAATAAAGATGACCAGGTTATAAGGTTGATGGGTTGATATGACCTTCACATCATCAAATAAAGATGGCTATGAGGAATGACAGAGAAACCTGTATCGAAGTATATGAGAGCCACGTGTAGGATATGCTCTCAACGAGAGCACCAAATGATGGATAATAGAGTATCCAAACATATATAAAATGGAGAGATTGAGATATGGTGTGAGGAAGAAGATGAATAGTGTATAAGTTTGTGAATTATGAATTAAGAGTTGGGAATTACAAGACCTCCCAAGGGGAGTATAAATAGAAAAACGATGGGCTGGGCCGATAATATAACTACATGAAAGACTAATCTAGTACATACAAATGACATATGAACATCTGGTAAGCGTGTGTGGACTGCTGTCTAGGCCCAACAATCGTGAAACTCGGGGGTCCAAGTCTATATACTCTGTTAACTAAGAAATTGTTGCCATCTAGCAAAAATTTGCTTAGATGCAATCTTTTGTATATCTTTATGCAAAACTTCTTTTGAAGATTTAAATTAATATGAAGTAGGAAATTTTGATTGAGTAATTCGCTTTGAAATTTTTTAATGCACATAATAATCTAAAGAATTTCTTTTTTGATGGTAGAATATTCTTTATTATATATGGAAAAGATCAACTCAAGTAGTTCGATCTGACGGGAAGCCTCACTCGAACTTGTCTACTTGAGGTGCTATTTGGTGGAAATTTTTTGTGAAATTTTGTTAGCATGTTCATCATTAAATATAGATTATGTCCATAAAATTTCGGTTTCAAATTAAATCTGGATCGTTCAAAAACAAATCTGGAAGGAAGTTAAATAAATCACTGAAAAACATTGCGTTTTTCATTAATTAAAATTTCATTAAAAAATCCACCAAGAAGCACCTCAAATCGACAAGTTCGGATTTCGGAAGAGGTTTCCCCTCAGAACTATCTAACATGATCATCATACTCTATATATGTGTATGTTTTTTTTGCCAAAGTGAAAAGTTTTATTAGGAAAATAACGAAGAAGATTACATGAAAGGAAAGAAGGAAATAGAAAAAATAAAAACAAAAGGAAGAAAAAAGTAGCAAGGAGAGAAAAAACAAAGACGTGAAACAACCCAACCCGAAGTACAATAGGAATGTCCCTCCCAAGAAAACCCAAAGACTCAGACACATAGTTAGTGCTCCATTCGAGTTTGGGATCTAGCTTAGTCCTCATGTGATGGGATCGTTGATACTTTTTCCTGTAAATCTTCATTTGAGTGTTCAAATTCTCCGCAGACAAGCAGTT